GCTCTGAGCTAACATCCATTGCCAATCCTCCTCGTTTTTTTCCCCCAAAGCCCCAGTAGATAGTTGTATGTCATAGCTGCACATCCTTCTAGTTGCTGTATGTGGGACGCGGCCTCAGCATGGCTGCAGAAGCGGTGTCGGTGCACGCCCATGATCCGAACCCAGGCCGCCAGCAGCGGAGCACGCGCACTTAACCGCTAAGCCACGGGGCCGGCCCTTGAGCGGCTTTTTCAAGTTTTATCTTATATTGCCTGAATCTATCACCTAATCATCAAACATTACAAGTTTTAACATTGGGAATCACATTAGGAGTTCTTAAAAAGACTCAACTGTGGTACAGGGACCAGTTGCTGCGAGTTTCATGCATTCCCAACACCTGGTGAATTTTTCCCACTCACTGGAGACAATGCTGACATCTTACCGAATATATTTTAAAACCATATTCAAATGCCATAACCAAGTTAGAAAAAAAATTTCTAGGGCTAAATGCAACCAAAGAATAGATTAGAAATCTATTTGCTTTTATTTTCCAACTCCTACTTTTGAGTGGAGAATGTCTGTTAGCAACAAACAGAGCACCAGAAGTCTGGACCTACATTCCAGAATTCAGCATTTATTCAATCACTTCCGTGTCAACCTATGATTGTGAGTTGGGGCTAATTCGATACAAAGAAAAGGAAGAGAAATTTAGTGAGTATAGTACTTAACCAAACATTTCACTAATTCTGTAAAGAAGTCTTCGATTTGCTTGCTTCAGAGTCAGTCTGCCTCCCTCACTGGGCCATTCCACAGCCCAGATTAGTTTAACCAGCCGCTCTCTAGTCCCGTGCCAGAATTAATAAGCACTACTGAGGCAAATTATACAGCCATGCAGACTTGGAGCCACCATAAATGTCTCATTTTCATCCTCTGCTGGGACATTATAAATTGACCTAATTTTATTTATTCCTAGTCTGATTCACTCCGACAATCCAGGGTGTTTACACTCTCCTAATATCCCTTCCCACTTCCTTCCAGTCACCTTTAGTAGAGAGCTCCTCACCTCACAGAGAGATGTTACCAGACACGAACACCCCAATTTCTCTCCCAAACCCTCCATGAATATCTGCCTTGACTAATTCTTATTGTCTTCCCTCTTGGAGAAACAGGTGTCCCTGCACCTTTTCCTGGCAAACCCATCCCACCTGGCTGTTGACCTCATTCCTTCTCACACTCTGTAGACATCTGTTTCCATACACGTTTCATCAATCTCCCCCTCCCCTTATCTCACCTTATAAACATGCTCAGGTTTTTCACTTCTATGTGTTCCATCTCTAATCCAAAAGGAACAGGAACACTCTGGAAGTGTGGTCTATACGCACACATTCCACTTCTTTGTTTCCCAATCATTCCTCAATCCACTGCAGTCAGGCCTCCTCCATCTTAACCTTTCTGCTAAAATGCTCTTGCTGAAGTATTAACTAATGGTCACCTACTTGCCAAAGTTAGTGGTCTCTTTTCAGCCCTTGTTCCTGCAACATATGACACCATGAAGCTTCACTCTTCTGCTGGCTTCTGGAATATCTTTCCCTTGGTTCTCTTCTTACTTGTCAAATCCATCTTTTTCTAGTTTTTCTTGGGTCACCCACCCTGTAAGTGTGTGTTTTCCACTGTTCCATCCTAGATCCTCTTCTTTCATACATAATACCATCTCATCTGCCAACACGGGTTTACTCCAACCCCTAGCAGCCCTCCTGAGCATCAAGTTCTCATACCAGTGCCTTCTATTTCCACAGACTCAGCAACTCAACAGGTTGAAAAATTCATAATCTCTCCCTAGTTTCCAACTTGCTTTTACCTACCTATATTTACCTCCTCTGTGAATAATACCACTGCCCCCACCCCTGTCCAGTACTATAATAATTTTATTCATTTTCCTAGGCAACCACTCTTTTTTTTGTGTGTGTGAGGAAGATTGGCCTTGAG